TGGCACATGGCTACACTTGTAAAAAAATGATTCAGAAACTGGATATGAATATAATTCTTTTTTGTGACACCAAAATATCCACCATCCTATAGATTAAATTCTCTTCATATTTCCATTTGGCTGTTGTAGAAGAGTACCAACCAGGTTTTCATTGTCTCATCTTCCTTTTCTGATTGAAGTTGATGTTACAATAACCATTCTAAAAGAGACTAGAAGAGAAAGAGGTAATAAAAAATTATTAAAATTATCAGGAATTTCCCAATCATGTGTATTTTTCTCCAGAATGCTGAGGCGGTAACTCTCTCTCTCTGATTGACAAACATTCAGAAGCAAATCACCCTTCCTGATGTTCAGTCTCAATCTTATACTGGTTAAGTCAGAGGCCTGATGGGGTGAAAGGTGAAAAGAAGCCTCAAATTTCTGAAGATCATCTGCAGAGTAGATCATTTGCTGGTTGATAGCAGATTGGGTTAATGGAAATAGTGCTTCATTTGAAGTTGGAGTATCTGGGTTTTAATCCCCGCTCTGCCACTTATTATCTGCGTGGCCTCAAGGAAGTCCCTAACTTCTTTGGGCTCAGTTAACTGAGCTGTGATTTCTGAGGTCCTTGCCAGACCTAAATGTGGAAAAATCTTAGAATTACACTGAAGAAATATATTCAGTTAAATGTAAACTCCTTGAGGACAAAGAAAAATCAGGCTTTAGTGTTTATATATTTAGCCCCTAGAATATGCCATGAACATTGTGAGGACTTATAAAAAAAGTCAAATTGAATTAAACTGAAAAAGCGTTCATAGAGTTCTCTTCCTCTTTCTTCCTCTGAGCTTCCCCAAGGCTAAATTTTTAGTTGTCTGCTGCTCTCTCTCTATTCCCTCCCTCATTTATTCTTACCAGGAACTAGGTGTTGTAGTGGATAGAATGTTGGACAAAGTGAGGAAGCATATGAGTTCAAGTCTTGCCTTAGGTACTTACTAGCTGTTTGACTTTGGGCATCGTTTAAATCTTTCTCAGTCTCAGTTACTTTATCTGTAAAATGATTATAATAGCTCCTACCTCACAGGGTTGATGTAAGGATAAAATAAAATTAAATATATTTAGCATTTTATTCTTGTTAAGTCATTTCAGTCATTTTCTTTCTGCCATACTTAGTATTTAGTCAACTTTAAAGCACTCTCATGATATTTTGTCAGACAAGGAATTGAGGCAAACAAGGTTAAGTGACTTAACCAGAGTCACATAGCTAGGAAGTGTATGAGTCCAGATTTCAACTCACAAAGAGGAGTCTTCCTGATTACAGGCCCAGCCCTCTTTCTACTTCACCACCTAGCTGCCCTTTTGGATGTCAGCCACTATTATTACCATTTCAGTGATAACTCTAAGTCAGTGGCTCACAAATCTGTACCTATAACTTGGAACTCCAAGTTGGCCAGTCATACTTTTTAAGGAATTCTTTTCTTCAGTGAATTTTTGTGCCTCCTTTTCCATTTGGCCTATTTGATTTTTTAAGAAGTTCTTTTCTTCAGTATATTTTGTACCTCTTTTACCAAGCTGTTAATTCTCTTTTTCCTAATTTTCTTGCATCACTCTCATTTCTTTCCCCAATATTTTCTCTACTACTCATCTCTTTCTTTAACTCTTCCAGGAATTCTTGCTGGACTTGGGTTCAATTAGCATTTTTCTTTGAGGCTTTACTTGTAGCTATTTTTACATTGTTGTCGTCTTCTAAGTTTATGTCGTGGTCTTCCCTGCCGCCTTTAGTAACTTTTTATGATCAAGGTCTGTTTTCATTTGCTCATTTTCTTGACTTTTAATGTACTTCTTGACTTTTAACTTTATGTTCACATTAGAACCTGCTCAACTTGGGGTGAGGAGGCATTGTATCAAGCTATAGGTTTTTTTGTGCTGCTGTTTTCAGAGCTAGTTCCGGGGGTTTTCAAGTTTTCAGTGCTTCCAAGGTAATATTATCCTGGGAAAGATGTGGTCACAACTTTCCTGGTCTGCACTCTGGTCTTTATCCAGGAAAAGTTCCTGCTCTCTTGCAGCCACAAATACTAGTGCTCATCTTGGCCCTAGAACTGTGACCCAGAACTGCTTAAGGGCAATAGAGTTGCAAATTGGCACTAGCTACACCCAGTGCAGGCAAAGAGTCCCCTGTAATCTCTTTCTGACCAGTTATCCAACCCCCTTACTGTCTCTGGGCTGAGAATAGCATCTGAAGATGCTTCTACTGTTGTTGTCCTGCTACCTCTAAGCACTCATGTTGCTCATGCCGTGCTCCTGGCCTGTGTTCACCCTGGTGTTACAGATCTACTTTATAGACCTCATAAGTTGTCTTAGGCTGGAAAAATGTCTCCCTCTGACCTATCATTGTCTCTGCCACTCCAAAATTTTACTTGAGGCATTATCTTAAAGTTGTTTGGAGGGGAATGTTGAGAGAGTTCAGCTAGGTACTATGACATCTTGGCCCTAACTCTTTTTTTTTTGTTTGTTTGTTTTTGGTTAGGCAATGGGGTTAAGTGACTTGCCCAGGGTCACACAGCTAGTAAGCATTATGTATCTGAGGCTGGATTTGAACTCAGGTCCTTCTGAATCCAGGGCCAGTGCTCTATCCACTGCACCACCTAGCTGCCCCAGCCCTGACTCTTAAAAAAAGATTTTTTATTATTGTATTTCTATATAATTGATTTCTTTTTTAGTCCTTTGCATTTTATTTTATGCATTTAAAACCATTTTTCTGGAAATGAATCCATAGGCTTCACCAGATCATTGAGAATCCATGTCACAAAACACATTAAGAACCACTGGCCCAGAAAGAGGGTAATCAGAGATTAAAAATGGATTAGTAGCAATAGAACTGGAATAGAGGAGATGCCTAGCCACAGTGCTAAGCATATAAAGCTGAAAGAAAGATTTTAAAACCCCTTCAGCACAGAATCTATCTTTGCCCTAGCCTTTTACAAATCTTTCAAAGAGAAGTCTGGGTTAATTTGCCCCAGGGGAAGATAGAGAAGGAAGAAGAGTTGGGGGTGAAAGTGAGGATTCTCTCCCCAATTCCAAGATCTTGCAGGAAGATACAGACAAATGCCAGAAATGTATATCTCTGCTGCTGAGAGGAGAAAAATAGTACTGACTTACTATTATTCTGTATAGAACTAAAAATAGAGATTTATATGAAAAAGTAAGAAGGGAACATCCCTACAGCAACCTGGGTGCCTTTTACTAAAGAGGGAGCCAGCTATGGGACCAATGTGTACACATGTAGATTTTCAAAGAACAGAGGCATTCTTCTCTATGGTCTATTTCTGAACTCTAAATATAATTGATACAGCAGGGTTCCAGAGTAGTTGCTCCGCATGGGCTTGAAACTAGAGAATTGGTACTTTTGGAAGGACACTGACCGCCATCTGCTGGTGAGAGGTCGTAGCTTGGAGGACAGTGATGTTGGAAACTGAAGGACAAAACTTAGAAGGAATGAACATCAACTGTTAACAGCTGAGAGAAACTGCAAAAGGCGTAAAGAATGATGGAGAACAAAAAAACCCAACTGGCTTTTCTCCTCACTGGAGGTCCATACAGGACAGTACTATAAGTCATGAATACTTCTAAGGATGAAGTGTTACTCATTGGGTGGGTGGATGAGAGGTGTCTCCTGATTTGTCTGGTTACTCAGATGTAAGTACTTTCTGCGTCCATTAATCTGCAAATAAAACTAGATTAGGTTATCATTCTAAGTGCTTGTAAGAGGAGCTGGTGGCTACCCTTGGGTAGAATGCCAGACACTGATGTTCTTAGATCCCTATTAGTTAAGGACTACAAGCCAAGGAAATGAGAGGTCCTCAAGTATATATGGCACCTCTATGTTATGAAAGAGCTCCAGCATTGGGGTTACAATAGCAACTCAATAATGTTTGATGACTGACTAATTAACAGCCTTATATGTCCTGATATTTTCTCCCTTCAGAAGTTGGTTGTCAAAGTGAATTTAATGAAGTTTGAAAAATTATTTTGAGTTTAGTAAAACATATTAAGTGCCAGAGTGCATAATAATATTGATAATGGATATTGTTATCAAATTTTTTTATAATATTCATGAGCCTGTATAATGATAAACCCATTCAGGTGATCTGAGTTTTGTTTGCCTTTTGAACTGGAGACCCAAGCAAAATAAGGAAAGAAGATCCTCTGTGTGACAGTGGTAATCAATCCCTTATTCTTATTCAATATGGCATTGTCTGTTCACATGAGTACAGAAAAACCTTTCTTAAAAAACCAGCTTTACAACTTTTTTTTCTTTATATATGAGGGTTTTTTTTCTTTTCCTAAATGAGTTCAATTGTTTGTGGCTATTCTTTCTACTTGGCCTCTTAGGCTTCTGAAGGATGAGATTTTCAACTTCTTTTTGAGGCTTTTCAAATTGATGACTCACCTGGGCTTTATCAGCTCTGCTGTCAGTATCACGAGACCTGAGGTCACTCCAAGCAGAGCTACTTCCAGCAACTTGACACCACCACAATGACTGGCATGTTGAAATAGTCTATCTCTGTTAAGGCAAGGAGGCCACAAAATGACAGCTTGATTTCAGATGGTAATCAGGTTCCAATCCGATTGGACATGGTCTTCAAAGGCTGTCTCACCCAGGTATGCTGCCAGGTTTGAGGTTTCAGTAAGGGCTCTGGCATGTATGAGTGTTATTTGGGTAAAGCACTTTAGAACTTAGAAAGGAGGCAGAAGTTTCACTAAAAATGTATTTATTATGAAACAAACAAAAAAAGCAGTTTCAATAGGAAAAAACTCCACAATTTTCTTGTTTAAAAAAATGAGAAATATTATTTATTCTAAATGTTACTGACTATGGAATTCTCTCTCTCTCTCTCTCTCTCTCTCTCTCTCTCTCTCTCTCTCTCTCTCTCTCTCTCTCTCTCTCTCTTTCTCTCTCTCTCCTCTCCTCTCCTTCCTTCTAGAAAGGAAAAAAAATTAAAAAAAGTTTTTATGCCTGGAATTCCTGCTCCTAGGGAGGCTGAGGCTGGCTTGGGTTCAGGAGTTCTGAGCAGCAATAAGGCTAAAGCCATTGATTATGTGCACCAAGTAAAGTGCCAATATGATGAGCCTCTAGGATAAGGATGGGGCACCAGATTTCTTAGGGAGAGCAGCGGAGCTGGTCAAATCTTTTGTGCAGATCTGCAGTGATGTTGAGCCCATGAGTAGCTATTGGACTTCCATTCTGGTTGAGATAAGTGAGACCTAAAAGAAAGAAAGAAAAAAATGAAAGAAAGAAAGACAGGGAGAGGGAGGAGGAAGGAAGGAAGGAAGGAAGGAAGGAAGGAAGGAAGGAAGGAAGGAAGGAAGGAAGGAAGGAAGGAAGGAAGGAAGGAAGGAAGGAGGGAAGGAAGGAAGGAAGGAGGGAAGGAAGGAGAAGAAGAAAAGTGAAAGAGGAAGGAAAGAAGTAAAGAAAGAGAAATACTGAAAGAAAATATTCCACATATTTTGCTCCAACTTAAAAAAACAACCATCACAAACAACAAAGCAGTGTTTCAGAAACATAGGCAATAGGGTCTAAAACTGTGTTTTCACTGATGGAGGAAACTCTGTCTACTAATGTAGGTTGGCACCTTCTGTAGATGGCTAGAGCACCGAGAGGTTAAGTGATTCAGCTAGAGTCAGTATGTGTCAGAGGTAGGCCTTGAACCCAGGTCTCCCCAGACTCAAGGCTTTAACTCTATCCACTACATCACACTGGCTCAGCAGCAGAAAGGAGGGTTAAATCAAATAAGGGGAATCGATGTGATCATCAAAAGTCCCTTCTGTTGCTAAGAGTCAATGCATCTATGAATCTGCATTTGACCTTCTGCCACATCACCAATATGCAGGAAATGGATGGATCAGAATAAAACCAATGGGTTCACCTTGACCCCTGGCCTTCTTGTATCTTTTTAACCTCTAAGTCTGAACATACAACCCTCAGGGCTAATTTGTTCAACATTGGTCCAATTTGTACTTACTTTTCAAAGTACATCCTCCTCTTCTTAAAATACAGCCATTCTTGATATACACATTATGTACATGATTCATTGTACTTTCATAGATCTGCTTAATTTTTTTTTAAACATTGAAGGGCTATATCTGTCCTCACTTCTACTTCTTAGAATCCTTGGTTTCTTTCAAAGTTTAGCTCAAGTGCCACCTTCTCCAGGTCTTTTCTGCTCTCCCTGCCCCCATCATTTTGCTATTGCCTTACTGAATTATTCCCTTTTTTAAATTTTAAGGCATGTCCTTTCCCCCAATAGAATGTAATGCTCTTGAGGCCATGAAGGGTTTACAATTTCTTTTATTCCTAGTGTGTAGCATAGTGCTTGGAACATAGTGAATCCTTAATAAATGCTTGTTCGATTACTGAAGTCATCCTGGTTCTTGAGGGTTCTGCTAGTAGAATGGAAGTGCTGATAGCTCTCGTCAACCTGGAGAGGCTTGGATTAGGGACCTGGTGATAGATTATATATGTCTGTCATCCAAAGACCAGAGTAGCTAAATTCAGAGTGGCTCATCCCCTGTGTTGGTAACAGGTTCCTAAATTTTTTGGTTAGCACTTCTCAAACACTATCTCCAAAGTCTAGAGGCATTGAGATCTATGTTGGGGAAGGTATATCCCCCACTCCCCAAACCATAGTTCTTTGAAGTATTAAAGTTTTATATTGAACCATTTGTCATTTTGTCTTGTCTATCTAAGCTCTTATAGGACAAAGTGTCTTTGTAGCCCGGAAATACTTTCTGATAATAACTCAGGAAGGTTGACACTGCATTCTCAATTAATTAAGCTGAAGAGTTTTGCAATGACATACTAAGAAAAAAGGATAAGCATTTCTCAATTCTTCTTTCTGTATCACATTTTGAATATAGAAGTCCAGCCAAATGATTTCTGACCTTGACTTTCGTGGAGCACTTGGCTTGGTGTCCAAGAATGAGGATGTTCCAAGGAAGCCCAGACCAAATATTCTGGCAACACTTGCTGGCTGTCAAAGTGACCAAATACAGTGTTAGACATTGGGGGTATTTGCTCTTTCAGAGGAGTTACACCAATATTAGGGGCTAAGCTCTCTCTGAAGACCAAATGTGACTGTGCTCTAAGCAGGTCAACTTCATTATATTCTCTATTTCATATTCTCTTTCCCCAGCTGTCCCTGCTTAGGCCTTCTTCAGAAAGAGAGAAAAAAGCAAGGTTTCCAAATAGGACTTGGGCATCCATTATTTAAAGTAGGAAGCTTTTCATCATTCTATTTCAGTTTAAAATTTAGGCAAAGTCAAGAGACTTTTTTCAGTATGGCAACATCAAATCAACATCTCTTAAGTGAGTTATCTACTATGAACAAAGAAGATATAATTATGACAGTAGAGTTAAAAATGGAGGGAGCTAGGTGGCTCAGTGAATAGACTGCTGGGCTTGGAGTCAGGAAGACCTGAGTTCAAATATGACCTCAGACACTTACTAGCTGTGTGATCCTGGGCAAGTCACTTAACCCTGTTTCCCTTAGCTTCCTCATCTGTAAAATGAGCTAGAGAAGGAAATAGCAAACCACTCCAGTATCTTTGCCAAGAATATTCCATGAACAGTATTGATGTGCTATCGTTCATGAGGTCATGAAGAGCCAGAAGTGAGTGAACAATTGAACAACAACAAAAGAGTTAAAAATAAGTAATATGAGGAGTTGTTCACTGAGGGTTTACTCAGATCTAGTTACATTATTATGGTAGCATCCCCCTAGACATTTCCAGGCTCTTAAAACCTTGGTTTCATACCTACTTAAATTAATACTCTGACCATTCATTCCCATTCTGATCCTTAATCTTTAGCCTCTTTGCTGTTCCTCACATATAGCGATCTATCTCTGCACTCTATGCCTTTGTACTAACTTTCTTTCATACCTGGAAGGTGCTTCCTCCTTACTGCTACTTCTTAGAATTCTTTTTCCTTCAAAACTCTGCTCAAGTGACATATTCTACATGAGGTCTTTCCTTCATTCCCCAGTGGCTACTGTCCTCTGTGCTACCCCGCCCAATTTGCCTTGTGTGTATGTATGTATATAATATTATATGTAATATACGTTATATGTGTATATACATGTTGTCTCATAGGTACGTCTCTCTCTCTCTCTACACACACACACACACATACACACATACACATACACACACTCCTTAGATAGAATTTCAGTTTTGTCTTTGTATTCCCAGTACCTAGCGCATAGTAGGGATTTAATAAATGATTGTTGATTGATTAAATGGTTCAAGTGTCAATGCCAATTATATCATATCATATTGTAGTGGTGAAGAATGACAATTTGCTAGACACAGAAGCTCAGGATACAATTCACACAACACACAAACAGCACACTTCCTAAGACCTATGGCTTGAAACAACAAACATCCAAATTCTAACGATGGAAAGTCGTGGATCCTCCCTCATCCCACTCTCATGGCCCAGTGCTACTGCTGTCAACCTGGTACTTGCCCTAGAAGGTCTAGACAGTGGGTTAACAATTTCCCCTCAAGTGATGATAAAAGGTCTTGATGGCTAGATCACAATTTCTGCTCACCACAGGAATTCTGAGAGGTCAGGAATCTGCTCTCATAGAGGATGGGTGTGGTCTCCAAGAATTATGAGAGCACAACTGTACAGTGTCCCAAGCTAGGCAATAACAGGATTGATGATGCATCCTCCCAGAGCTGCTTCCACGCTACTGAAGTACCCAGTTAGCACCTGACTATGGCGGGGGGCGGGGGAGGGGGGAAATCTCAGTATCTGCCAAACCTCCTGGACATTGCACATCATGTCATTTTATTTCTGACTTTCTTATTCTACTACTTTCACCTTTTCTTTGCATTTCCAATGTTCCTTTTAAAGACTCCTACTTCAGAGGCTTCTATTTCCTGTATAAAACTGTAAGTTATCCAGGCCTAGGGACAGTTTCTCTGACTCCCAATGCATTGTGGGAATGTGGCATATTGGAGAAACTCCTTACAAAGCTCTTTTTTTTTCCTTCCCTTTCTTCAAGGGAAGTCAACAGTTAGAAAAAAAAATCCTGTCTCTTTCTTTTGGCAAGTTGAAAAGCCCATTTTGCATCTCTTTCTTTCCTACAGTTTTCTAGAAAGGCCTCTATATAATCTGTAAAACTTCTCACACTAAAATCTGGGCGCAAGAAGAAGAGATGGAAGAGATATGAAAAAGAACATATTAGTCCCCACAGGAATTTTTCCATGCAAAGATATGGGCTTGTTTCTCAAATAATACAACATTCAGTTTTACAACGTCAGTTGGGTTTTAATATTAACGAAAAGATGAGTCACTTCTAACTAGCACAATCATTGTGTGAATGCAAATATTGCTACAAAATTGTTTCTTGGAAATGTCTTTGATTGTTATGTAGTCTAAGCATTTCCCTTGCCTGTGGTTTTCCTGAGGATGTAAGCATAGAGTGCTCATAAATCTCTCAGGCAATCAGTGGTCACAGCTTGCTTTGTATAAGCAGCTCCCAGAGTCACATGACTGTTCCTCCAAAAAGCCACCCTTGGCTTGATTGGGAGTGGGCTTATATTTACACTATTAATTTACTTAGAAAATGTGTTGTCCCTCTGGTCCTTTTTCCCCCCATAGAGGATATAGGAAGGGCCAATATCTATCAATCATGTTCAATTTATGGCAAGTCCTGAATTAATGGAGTCCAAGTGAATAAGGCTTTTCTGTAATAAAGATACCATGCTTACCAGCTCTTGTAAAACTTGTCACTGTTCACAAGTAATATTTAGGGAAAACCTTCATCTACTAATTTGGTTCTCATTCAACACTTCATTCCTGTTATTACTCTGAACTAACAGTGTTTGATTTTGCTGGGCATGGCATAAAGGAGATATAGACATTTCTTAGCTGTGTTACCATGGCCAAGTCAATCAAACTCTTCCAAGTCTCATTTTAATCATTGACAAAATATGCCCAAACCCTCTGTGCTAATTTCATTTCCAGCTCTGAGCCTTACTGTTGAGTCTTTTTTTTTTTTACCATTACCTCAGCATTTTCCTCACCCTAGAGATGCCACCTCCCTTTAAGGCCCTTCTTCTGAATGGTAAGTTCCTGCCCAGGACCACCATTTCAGGAAAAGCCCAAGCTATCCATGTTCACTCTCTCCCATCTCTGCTCTTGACTACTGCCTTGACCTAACCCTACTCCATCCCTTTCCAGGTCTGTTTAACGTATTCCCTCATTATAAACCATCTATTCTGAATACTGGAGTGGACTGTCATTTCCTTCTCCAGCTTGTTTTACAGACGAGGAAAGTGAGGCAATATTCACTCATTTGCATATAAACTCCTTTAAGCTAGAGACTGGTTTACTTTTTGGTTGTTATTTGTTTGTATTTGTATTTCCAGGGCTTAGCACATTGCCTGTATCATAGCAAGTACTTTAATAAATGCTTTGTCTATCTATCCATCTATCTAAAATGAGGAGCAAAGATGCCATACTTCCCTCTCATGGTTGTTTTAAGGAAAGTGACTAATAAACCTTAAAACATTATATAAATCTGAGTTGTCATAATGGATAAGGATCAAGAATTTGTCTCCTATAATGTGTTCCTTGTACAGATGCTGTCAGGTAGAAACAAGCAAAGTTTACAGGTATCTAAGGTACAAAATGCGGGGGTAGGATATAACATGAGGAGGTGGGGAAAGCAACAAGGAACATTTTTAATAGAACTGTAAGTAGCAATATTTTCACCTGGGATGAGAAACCAAAGGGTGGAGGAAGCTTACCAGGAATGAGAAGAAGCTCATTGTGAGAAGCCTTGAAGTTTCTGCTCTGCCAAAAGTTTAGCCACCAAAAGGAAAGAAGTATGCCACTGCTGTCAGAGGCTGAGATGGACAGAGGAGACAGAGGACAAAGCTGGAAGGAAACAAGCATTTATTAAGTGCTTACTGTATAAAAAGCATTGTGTGCAAAGCTTTATAAATATTATTTCACTTGATCCTCACAACAACCATGAGAGGCGGTTGCTATTGTTATCATCCCCCCCCTTTTTTTTTTTTTACAATCAATTGAGGAAACTAAAGTCAATAGAGTTTGAGCTACTTGCCCAGGGTCACATAACTAGTAGGTATCTGATCAGGATTTGAACTCATATTTCCTGACTTCAGGACTAGTGTTTTATGCCCTGCACTACCTAGCTGTCTCTAGCTGACTCTAGTGTCATAGGAAGGTGCTATCAGTATCCTCTAAATTGCTCGTAGGGGTAATTATAGCTTTGTGAGCTAGACATGGTAGTGCTTTTTATTAAATTTGATTTATTTTATCTGAACCTGTGATTTCATTGATATAGGGAGTTCTCAATCTGTAAGCTCCCTTCATTGGTGCGTACATATTGGCAACCCATCTATAACTTATTATTGTTGTTGAGTTGTTTCAGTTGTGTTTGACTCTCCATGACCCTACTTGGGGTTTTCTTGGAAAAGATACTGGAATGGTTTGTCATTTTCTCCTCCAGCTTGTTTTACAGATGAGGAAACCGAGGCAAACAGGTTAAATGACTTGCCCAGGGCCACACAGCTAGGAAGTGCCTGAGGCCAGATTTGAATTCCTGAAGATAAATCTTCCTGATTCTAAGCCCACTGCGCCACCTAGCTACCCCTCTATAACTTATATAGTATTCTTACTTATCAGGGATACTTGTTCATGGCTGCAATGCTAGTATGTGTCAGAGGCAGAACTTGAACCCAGGTCTTCTTCTATTTGCTCTGCCATGCTGCCTCTCATTATTTTTTATAAATGACAGAAAATAAATAACATAATTTCAATGCCAGAAAATTCCATTCTCCATGACACACCAATACTTATTTTGTGACCATTTAAATCTTGTGTATAACAGTGAAGGGTCAAAGCCTTGGGTGGACAATGACACATGGGACATGATTTACAGATCTTACAGGCTTTACAAATGTCTTCTCTCAACTCTGCTGGTCCAAGCACTGGTACCTTATATTTCTTTCCTAGTCTCTTAGCAAACTACGCCTTACACAGAGGGTCCCTATTCTCTCTTCTACTAGTGGGACAATTCAGTAGGGTTAGGAGTGAAGAGGATGGCTACTAAATATCTTTTCTCTTTGTAAAGGAAATGGTCCATGTGGGATAGAACTGTGATTTAAGCCTTTATCTGCTATTTTCTAAGTGTCCTTGAGTTACCCCACAACTCATAGGGTTCAAAACCACTCAGGTTATTTTAGTATAGATGAAAAATATCTAAAATGACATTATTTTCAAAAGTCAACAGCCCACAATTAATATGTATATCATATAGATATAGCGATACACACACATATATATACATATACACATACATATATGTATGTATGTGTATCTATATATATGTGTATATGTATGTGTGTATGTGTGTGTGTGTGTGTGTGTGTGTGTATGAAGGAGCAAGAAACAGAAATTTCTGGAGGCAACTGTTGAAGTGATTTTAAGGCCATCGTAATGCAGACCCAGACGAAAAAGCCCTCAAATCCAGAGGGGAAAAAAAAAAGTCCAGGAGCCAGCTCAGGCCTTTTCTGTGAGGGCAAACTCCTATCTGGGTGCACAGGTTTTAGACTGACAATGTATATGTTGGCCCTGGCAGGAAAACATGTCTTCTGCCTTGCCAAACATCAGCCAGTAATCTCCAGCAATACCCATGTGGGTTTCACACGTTTCCTGATCAGAGGAAAGGAAACAGGAAGAAATGTGTGCAGATTTTAGCTGATCCTATCCCCCAGCTTTGGAAAAGTCAGAATAATAAAAGCTCATTTGGAAGTCCATGGCTCTGTGGGGAATTGCTAATTTGTGGGGAAAATCATTTATGAGCCTGGGCCAGCCAGGGTTTTATGCTTCACCAGACAGATGTAGGAAATTGGCGGCTTCCAGACTCCACACCAACTCTTCCACCAACTTGATCTGTAGCCCCCTGAACATCCTTCCATCCCTACAGCTATAATATTTGGCCTTGAAAAGCTATGAAGAAGCTATGCCTGAGACTTGAAGCAATCCACTATCTCAGCTAGTAAGAGCTGGGGTCATATGATCATAGATTGAGAACTAGAAGTAATCTTGGAGACTGTCCAGTCCAACTGTTTCATTTTATGTAAGAAGAATTAAGGCCCAGAGTTCAACTTACTAGCTCAAGTTTACCCTGATAAGGAGTAGCAGGGCAAAGATTCAGATCTAAGTTGTCTGACTCCTAAACCAATCAATCAATCAATAAGCATTCATTAAATGCTAAGTATCTGCCAGACACTGGATATACAAAGACAAAAATAAAATCATCCCTGCTTTCTAGAAGCCTTCTGTTAGATGAGAAAACACATGCCCATTTAAATGTAAGGGTAGGATTCCACTATCCCAATGAACATACATACTCATAGAAGAATGGAGAGTTGGTGTGTGACTGTTTGTGCACAGATGATTGTGCGCCCAAAGCAGCCTCTGAGGCAGAGATGCAGCAAAGTATGGATCAATTCCCTGCTGCTTGTGCTAATTTTGGCCTAACAACTAAAATCAGAAAATAGAAATTCTCCACCAGCTAGCACTGCACTATCCATGAATGAACCATGGGTTAGAGCAAATGGAGAGATTTTGAATATTGTGGATAAGCTCACTTACCTTGGCAGTACACTTTCCAGGAAGTCCACATAGATGATGAGGTTGACACATGCTTTGCCAGAGCTAGCTCAGTGTTTGGGAGTCTCTGAAAGAAAAGTGTGGGAGAAAAGAGGTATCAGGCTGCCTACCAAACTGAAGGTATACAGAGCTGTTGTGTCGACCTCATTATTGTATGCCTGTGAAACCAGGACAGTATACCAGCATTATGCTAGGAAATTGAATTGCTTCCATTTGAATTGTCTTAGGAAGATTCTGAAGATCACCTGGCAAGGCAAGATACTGGATACTGTTGTCTTTTCTCAAGCTGAACTGCCAAGCATAAATCCTACTGCAGAGAACACAACTCCAGTGGGCTGGCCATGTTGTTTGAATGCCAAATGCACGTTTGCCTAAAAGACTGTTTTACAGAGAACTCATAGTCAGAAGAAGTGATACAAGGACACCCTCAACGTCTCTCTGAAGAACTTTTTATTGATTGTGAAACATGGCAGACACTGGCACAGGACTGTCCAGCGTGGTATGCCCACATCAAAGAAGGTGCTATGCTCTATAAGCAAAGCAGAATTGTAGTAGTTCAAAAGAAACACTAGATGCACAAATTTAGAGACATCTGTATTTCAAAAGGGCTATTTGTGCCTGACCTGTGGTAGAGCTTTCCGAGCTCATATTGGTCTTCTTCTTGTTTTTTGCCCTTCGTTCTCAAAGAGGACCATGGCATCAAGAAAGTGATGCTGTGACTTGCAAGTGAATTGGATTTAAGTGAGAGAGGGCTGTGCAAAGTCACCAGCCTCACTTTCTTCTCTGGAGCCATCTGGGTCCAGCGGCATTATATAAATCAGGATGACTGGAGATGGCCATTTGTCTAATTAGCTACAAACACACACTGTACATTGACCTGACATAGTGATGTCATTTTGTTCCTCTTCAAGTAAAAAAGACAACCACCAACAAATTCATAAAAGCCCCAACACCAGATTGAAACAATCAAAGTGCAAACTAGGTGTGAACAATGCCCTAATCAGTTTGAGAGGATTAAAATTCTTTGACAATTGGATGAAGAGAGACAATGCTTTATAACTGCATGAAACTGGATGTAACTTGATGTAATTGAGAGGAAACATCTTGTAATCAGCTGAATCAGACATGCCACTGACTAATGTATAAAAATAACAGTCAATCTAATAATGAACTAGTCTAGTGGTAGAAGAACTCTAGAGGACTGTGGGGAAATGGCTGAGGGTAGGGGGAGAGAAAGGAGACTCTCTCTCTCTCTCTCCCTCCCTCCCTCCCCCTCCTCCTTCCTTCCTTCCTTCCTTCCTTCCTTCCTTCCTTCCTTCCTTCCTGCCTGCCTGCCTGCCTGCCTGCCTGCCTGCCTGCCTGCCTTCCTTCCTCATTGATCATGCTATCTACCCATAGACTGTGTGTATAATCTGTGGAAGAGTATGCCATGGACTTAACAGGGAGGAATTTTTTGTACCTTTTTAAAATATACCATCTTAGTAAATACCTTTTCTGAAAAGCTAATTAAGTTTCACTAATTACAAATGAGAAGCACACCAGTAAGGACCCATGAGCTACAGTACTGGAAACCTAGCCCTTCAGGATTACCCCTAGAATCCTGAGAAGTCAATTGTCCTTTGGGGATCCCCATCTTTCAATGAAAGTGCAAACTTGTGGAGAGAAAGGAAGGCCCAGTAGGGATGATACAAAAGTATATATGAAATAAGTATATACATAAATAAATGTGTGTGTATATAGTAGGGTTATTCTAAGTCAAATTGAGTTCCTGAGCTTTTTCTCATCTCTCTCTGTGAATTCTTAATACAGATAGGGAGAAGTATTTTTCACCTAATAAACTTTTTTCAGGCAACCTTCCTAGTGCTGGATTTGGAGTCAAGAAGACATTGAAATTTTAATTCCCACCTCTGACACTAGCTGTATGATACTCAGTAAATCACTCACCCTCCCTAAGCATCCGGCAACTCTCTAAGACTATGTTATAGAAATGCTGCAATCTGTCTCGGTGGATAAAATCACAGGTCTTTGGTGAACTATTTTTATTTTTAACAGACATGTTTGGGGTAGAGTGGGCGTTGTTAGAGTCACAGGGGGTATGCTTTTGAAACAATGGAATGTGAGTTCCTGACTCAGAGATCCCCAAATAGAAAGTCCCTACCGTGAATAAGATCAATATTTAGTGTAGGACATGAGCCTTAAATATTATTTATTCTTTCCAATACTG